TACCTAACAAAGATTGGTATCAAATTTGGTGTTCATGAGAGGACTCGATTCCCAGATACACCACTTCCTACTGGAAACCTGGAACCTGCCACTGATACAGCCAGGCCTGACTTCATCAAAGGATATCAGATGAAGGTTGGTTCAATTGGTCATGCAGCTGTTTTGGCAAGGCCGGATGTGGCAAAGGCACATGCTACTCTTTCTCAATTTCTGAAGAATCCAAGCCAAGCTCATATGGAAGCTGCCAATCACCTGATTGCCTACCTCTATAGTACCAAGGACATGAAGTTGCACTTCCATAGGGACAAGCCCAAGATGGAGCTGTATGTGGATGCTTCATTTGGTGACAACCCGGACAGGAAGAGTTCACAGGGATTCTTGATGATGATGTATGGTGGTGCTATTGATTGGCAAGCAACCAAGCAGAAGACAGTCACCAAGTCAACCGCAGAGGCAGAGTTGCTAGCACTCTCATCAATTGCAGGTAATGGGTACTGGTGGACTCGACTTTTCTCTGAATTTGACAAGGTATTTCCACCTCCACCTGGAAATAAGCCATCTGGGGAGCCTGTCAAGGATGGAACCATGGGTGGAACCAAGGTTTTCTGTGACAACCAACGAGCAGTGGATATCGCCAATCACAAGCATGGTTCACTCAATACGGCTTTGAGACATGTGGATATCCATCAACACTGGGTAAGGCAGGAAACCATGGCAGGACGATTGACCGTGGAATGGATTGGGACTGCCAAGCAACGAGCTGATGGCTTCACAAAGAACCTCCCAAAGGGGTCATTCCAGTCATTCCGGACGAGCCTGGGGCTCAGGTAAGTGGACATGGTCAATCATTAGATTGGGACGGACGGACGGTCACCATGTCTTGGTTTTTTCAGCTTTTCTTATGTAATCAAGCTGAGGGAGGTGTGTTTGGACAGAAGGACATGGGTGCCCTGGCATCATGTGACATGAGTCATATGAGATAACAGGGGCCACTGATTCCTTGGCATATGTATGTAGAGTTGGGGATACCCACCCCCCTCTTTTCTCTTCTTGAGAGGTCAGACCTCGGACCTCAATTAATCCACTTATTGATTGGTATTCCATCAATCTTCTCAATTGGGCACTAGTGTGGTGTGTGGTTCCAACACGCTAGTAGAACTTAATCAGGCGATAATCCAAAATTTACCAGAGACTTTGACGACCACGCTCGCTGCAACCTCTATACAGCTACCAACATGACAAGATGAAGCTCACGAATAGCGGCTCGGTGCCCGTGTACACCATCGCAGGCGCATCGACGGCGCGACCACTACCTGAATGGCTTGCACGCAAGCGAAAGCGCAGTCTCAAGCGTGACGCCGAGTATTCTAGCCGAGTCGAGCTGCTGCAGGACTTCGAATTCGAAGAGGCCAGCCAGTGCGTGCGCGTCAGCGACGATGGCGAGTGGGTTATGAGCACGGGGACTTACAAGCCTCAGATCCACACACACTATCTGCCCCATCTCTCGCTGTCCTTCGCGCGCCACACCAACACCGTCAACGAGACCTTTGTGCTCCTCTCTCAGGACTACAGCAAGTCGCTGCACCTGCAGACCGATCGCTTCCTGGAGTTCCACACACCTGGTGGCGTGCACTATACCACCCGTATTCCGCGGTATGGAAGAGACTTGAAGTACAATACGCGCAACGCAGAAGCACTGGTGCCGGCGGTGGGGGTCAACGCAGAAGGCAATGGAGAAGTCTTTCGGCTCAACCTCGAGCTGGGACGTTTCATGAAGGGCTACGAAATCGATGTGGGAGGCGATGATTTGGACACCTTCGGGGGCGGGGCGCTCCAGGGAGGCGTGAATACTGGTTCTGTCAACTGCGCGGCCATTGCAGACCAGAGCCACGGCCTACTTGCCTTTGGCACTTCGATCGGGACAGTCGAATTCTGGGACGCACGGTCGAGAAATCGTGTCAGTGTGCTTGGCCTGCCTAGACAGGCTCCTGATGCCGATATCGATTCGAGACCAGAGGTGACTGCGCTCTCATTCCATCGTTCGGGTCTGAATCTGGCGACTGGTAACAGTAATGGTATCGTTCGCACATATGATCTTCGATCCCCTGTTCCTCTGTTGGAGAAGCACCAGGGCTACGATAATCCTATACGAACCTTGCAGTATATCGAGTCCCCGCTGGCATCTGGGAAGATTCTCAGCGCCGATCGGAAAGGCATCAAGCTATGGGATGAAGTATCTGGAGACTACTGGACTGGAATTGAGCCTGCAGTGGACGTGAATCATGTCGAGTGGGTCCCGTCCAGTGGTATGCTTCTGACTGCCAACGAAGGAAGACAGCAGCATGCCTTCTTCATACCACAGTTAGGGCCGGCCCCTAAGTGGTGTGCCTTCTTGGATAACCTTGTAGAGGAGATGGCCGAGGATTCTGAAGATCCCCATGCATTCAAATCCTCTGGCACGGGTGCGGGAGAAGTGTACGACAACTACAAATTCGTCGACATGAAGCAACTACGAGAGCTCAGCCTGGACCATCTAATTGGCACAACAAATCTGCTAAGACCGTATATGCACGGCTACTTTGTCGGTCAGAAGTTGTATGAAGAAGCACGACTACTCACCAACCCCGACTTGGCAGAGCAACAAAGACAAAAGAGCATTCAAGAGAAGATTGACAAAGAGCGTGAGAGTCGTATCCGCGGTTCCAAGAAAGTCGCAGTTAAGGTCAACAGAAAGTTTGCAGAGACTTTGGTCGCCAAAGAAGAAGCCAACGAACGACGAAAAGCACAACGTGTGCTCCGACAAGGTGGGGATCAGCCACTTTCCAAAGTACCCGAAGAAGAAGATACTACCAAACCATTACTCGATCCACGATTTGGCAATCTCTTTGAAGACGAGGATTTCGAAATCGATGAGACGAGTCGTGAATTCGCCATGCACAATCCATCCACAATACCAACAACAACACCAAAGCCGCGCGGTCTGACAGCCGTAGAAGAGGAAGCCCTAGAAGACACCAAACACCACAGCAGCGCCTCAGAAGACGACGACGAAGACGAAGAAGACGAAGAAGAAGTCGCCGCACGAAATCGACAACGTCAAAGACAACAACAATCCGATTCTTCGCTCCAAAATTCCCAAGGCCGAATCGGATCCACATCCTACACAAAATCTGGCAAGAGACCTCAGCAGAAGAACCAGCACCAACAACCGACCATGCGAGTTTCATCTTCGACGGAAAGTAAAATTCGTAAGCCACAACGGGACAAGTCGTTTGGAGATTTGGCTTCTTCGCTCCCTGCGTCTCGACAACAGCAACATCATCGGGCTTCTGCTGCGGATGGCGGCGATAGGCCGTTCGGTGAGAAGCAGATCACTTTTGCGCCGAGTAGTTCCAAACAAAAGAAGCAGTCCCAGCGACGAGCAGGCGAGGATGGTGGGAGAAGTGTTGGCAGGGGTCAGGAGAGGCGCAGTGCCAGTGGTAATGTGTTTAGAAAGTTGTAGTTGGAATACGGTAGCAGTAGCAGTAGCAGCCACAATGAACTTATCTGCTATGCTATGCGTCCTCCCTTCGGGGTCTTATTCTCGCCTCATGTATCTCGTTACTGAGATTATAGCCGTATAAAGGATTCTCCGCCAACGCCCACGCTAATCTTCATAGATATTCATTTTTCCATATGCCTCGCTTGCGCTTTATATCGCTTTGAGTGTTCAACACCGTGATCGTGATAATAACGCCAGCTGCATTTTCTGACTCCCTGGCCATGCCAATCGACATTGAAATCAAATAAAGCAACCCAACCCGCTGAACGCCTCACACAGCGCCCGATCCGTGAATACAGAAACCTCATAACCTCCAGGGCCATGCTTTCCGTCATTCGCAGTACTCTGTAATACATCCCAAACATAATTCTCCTGCGTAGCGTAATATTTCTTCGTCCCGAAATCGTAGCCACCAAATGGGTCGATGGGTGCTTCTGGCACTGCCTTGACTTTTGCTTTGAGCCCTTTGATAACGAGATTCTTCCCGTCTGCATTCCCGCTGCTGCTGGTGCTGTTTGTCTTGTTCCTGCTAACCTCTGACACAGCCTGGAGATGTTGTTGTCGAGCAGCGGCATCGTGTCGATTCAAGCGCTTCTTCAGAGTAGCACTGGCACCAGCTTCCATCGCAGCGACAGCGTTAGGATCCTGTCCATTCTCCAAACGTTTCAACATGTCTCTCTTATTCGCTTGAACCTCTCTCCTCTCATCAGCTTCTTCCCTTCTCGCAGCCTCTCTCCTCTGTTTCGCGACTTCCCTCTCAGCTTTTTGAAGTTTATCATAGGACATGCTTTCCTGCTGTGCCAGATCCGCATTCTCCGCAATTTCTTGCTGGTGAGCTTTCTCATATTCTCGAAACCTCCGTTCAGTCACCTCCTCATCAATTCGATTGATCATATTGAATGTAATGTCCTCCACATCATTCAAATAATCGTTCCAGTCTCTCAACGTCTCAAATTCCTCCTCCCTTCGATTAAACACCTTCGCGACTTTCCGGCGAATGTCGACTTCGCGCTCGACTTGGATGTCCTCGAAAGTTTGTTGACGGAAACGGTTTTTTCGGAGCGTCTCGTGGCATTTCGGTATAGGACAGGGTTGGGGTCCGTGTGAGAAGAGGCGATCGACGCAGGATTCGCACATTTTGTGGTAGCAGGCCGGGTTGACGAGGAAGCGGAGGCTCGGATTGAGGTAGCGACTGCTTTTGCATACTGGACAGATATCATCTGAGCTGGTGGTGTTTGAGGGTCTGCCCGAGGACTGCTGGTTGTGAGCTAGCCGCGACATGGTGATCACGGTTTACTGTCTTGGTTGTTGTACTTGAGAAGTGGCACACAGGAAATAGGTCGTGAGTGTTGATTGATGTAGCTAAGGCTGACATAAGCAACGAGTAGGTCTATCATGTGACAGAGATCGGCGAGCTCAAACCTCCGACGTGGTGGAAGATGATGAACTTTTGTCCTCGATGTCAATATTTCATTACTTTCGCCATCACCGCGCATTCTCCATCGCAAAGTCTTGAAGCCAGCGTCCGCACACCGAAACTCACCTCGTTCGAACAACACCACCGCCGCACAAACTCCGCCGAACGAATACACATCGATTCCTTGCGCCATGGGCGAGAAAGGGCATGGCCTCGACCACTCGAGAGATCCGTGTCCATGGGTCGCGCTCTCAGATTTCGGAGGCGCTTTCTGTATGGGTGTATGTTGGAGCACAAAAGGATACTGAGATGACACACTAAGAGAGGACAAATGACTGATCTATGCGGCAGGCAATAGGAGGAGCAGTGTGGCATGGCGTAAAAGGTTTTCGGAATAGTCCATATGGCGAGAGACGGATAGGAGGTATGACAATAACGAAAAAAGATACAACAAGATTATGAAACTTTCGATGAAGGTATGCATGCTGATCAGATTCCACAGCCATAACAGCAATTAAAGCCCGCGCACCCGTCCTGGGCGGAAACTTCGGCGTTTGGGGCGGCCTATTCAGCACATTCGACTGCGCAGTGAAAGGCGTGCGAAAGAAGGAAGATCCTTGGAATGCCATTATCGCCGGATTCTTTACAGGAGGTGCATTAGCCGTCAGAGGAGGTCCCAAAGCCATAAGGAACGGTGCGATTGGGTGCGCGATTCTGTTGGCAGTAATCGAAGGTGTGGGCATCGGGTTCCAGAGGATGATGGCGGAGAACACAAAATTGGAGCCGCCTGCGCCGCCGCCGACGCAGACTAGTGCGAGTGGAAGTGAAGGGAGATTGGCGGCATCGGTCGCTTGACCCATGACGCCGAGTTTGGCTGGATCTGCACTCATGATAACGGAGATGGGGCTCATTTGTGCGTGAGTGATGAGGAGACGTCACTCGGCGATAGAGGATGATGGGACATGCGATTGCAATACAACGACGAACAGAGTTTCGCGGCATGAGCTGATGCATTGAACGGCGTTCGGCACTGGTGACCTGGAAAAGAGTTGACACAGACAAGCAGCGAGGAACGTTAGAATGGAGTCTGGTCCGGTCTGCTCAATCTTCACTCCCCATTATAGATGAGAGCGTAGCGTAGACTACGCGGTTGTCAGTGCGCTTGCGGTTATTGTAACATTATCATGTACATACTGAGCAGCGAACCAAGAGCAGCTCATAATGGTATCTCAGCTACGACTGCAATCTCACTTCGATTGCAAATTGCGTATGCTCGTCTGGTTCGCTGAAGCTACATGCCAAGATAATTCCCAGACCGTGTAGATGATATGTAATCCGCCATTCCCCAGCATCGATGTAAGGTTGAGTCCACTCCCAAATGCCTCAACACTCATCCTTTGATCCGAGCAGCTCGAAATCTGCTGACCTTCTTGAGTTTCCCGTCTCGCTCCTCCATCAGATCGCCTTGTTCATGTTCGTCATCTTCGCTCGTGCCTGCCTTAAATCCGCCCTGTTGTCTAATCATATCATTTCGTCGTCGGTAGTATTCTTCGGCGAGTTCACGTCGTTGTAAAACAGGGTCGCTCCCGTCAGTTGATGGCGCAACAGCATCTTGGGAACGAGACGCGCGCTCGACCAATTGATCCGCAATGACCAGGCCTGGTGGACCTTCCGGGGTTGACATATCTCTTACAGTCGCAGTCTGTTTGCCCGCCGTAGCCCCTGCAGATGATGTAGCAGACTTTTGGGATGTCTTGAAGCGAGACGATTTTTTGGCTGGGTCTGCTGTGCCACCAACCTCGGTTGTACTTTCGAGAATCCTTTCCGCGAGGGGGTGCTCGTTCTCAGCTTGCAGCATGCTCGCTGCCTTTCGCGCAACATCTTGTTCTTGCGCGAACTTCGGCGTTTCGGCGAAGCTTACTCGTTTCTTCACCTTCAGGTTGTGGTCTGGGTCCTGAGTTTTACTTGAACTCGATGGTGCGCCGCTGTCATCATGAATCACAAGTCTGCGGACGTGCTCAGCATCGAGATCTGTGTCCACTATGCTGTCGTCTATGGAGGCCGCTGGTCCAAGATTACCAATAAGCCTGCGTTGCAATTGTTGCATTTCCTTGTGGTAGTCGTCACTGATCACTCTACGAGTACTACGACCAAACTCATCCTCACTTTCTCGGTCTGAGTCGGACATACCGCTAGTGTATGGTGTGTCCTCCTCTGGATTCTCAGAAGAGAGAAAGTCTGATGTTGACCCAGTCTCATCTAGGTCGTAATCATCCTCATCTAGGTCCATCTGCGCCACGACATGTCCGACTTCATTCAGATGATATTCCAGCATCTCTCGACGCATGGCGGCGTCTTCTTCCGATTCGTTCTCCGGGAGCACGAAATGCGTTTTTGCAAGCTCGTCATTCGAGTCGATCTCACCAACTCTCTCACCTGGTTTGAACATGAAACTGCGAAGCTTCTTTTGCATATCAGCGTCGGAGCTCTTACTGCTGGCCTCGGGATCTTCACCGCCCACGCTCGGCTCAAGACTCTTTGCCGATTCTGGGGGTATCTCCTGCACCTGTGGCGCGAATGAGACAGATCGAGAATCTGGAGGGGGGGCTGCCGGCATGATTGCCACTTTGTCGTTGAATGATACAGTTCTTTTCCCATCTTCCTGCTCAGCACGATCCGGCACAGGATCAGGCTTCGTATCTGCACTGAACGAGACAGACTTCTTGCGGATGGCTGGACGACCTGATGGATGTTCGTTCTCACTCTCGGAAGGACGTCGAGTAGATCCTTCATTATAGGAGTGCCTGGTGACGAGAGCTGATGGTGGGAGAGGGCTCGCGCTTGCTTTCGTACTGTTGTCGCTGCCAGGCTGATCAACATCCTTGTCGATGTGGTCGGTAGTTGTCTCCAGGTCGTTTTCGGACAGCCCAGCCTTGCGTAAACTGTCAACCAGCTTACTTGTCGCAGCTTCGGGCTGCACAACACTACTGGATATGACATTGTCGTCATCGTCTAACTCCTCGTGGATCTCAGTCAATGGCAAAGGTCCTTTCCCGCGATCTGTGTTTGCAGACGCAAAGTCCAGCTCTTCGAGCTTTGCTTCCGCATCCCAGAATTGGCGCTGTAGAGTTTCTATGTTCTTTTGAACATATTCCTGCCGTTTGGCGATGAGATCCAGCACCTGAGTTGCCGAGCGTGGCGTTTTCGGAAGGCCTGCCAGATCTCGAACTTCCTTTTCGTTCACAATGTCGCCCGCATATGTTTTGCTGACGTTGTCGAGGTCGACACCGTCTCCGCCAGCCTGGATCTCTTCCGTCAAGCCTTCATACTCTGCAGTCAGCGTCCGGAAGTGCTTGAGACTCGCTTTCAACTTGATCAAGTTCTGCTCAAGCAGCAAGCGCTGTCGTTCCACTTCGAGGAGGTCCATGTGAAGCTATGCAGCCGTGTTTCATACGATGTCTCGGTGTCAAGTGGAAAGATGCAGGTGAAGTTGAAAGTTAAAAGGTCAGTTTAGGTTGGCAGGCGAGTTTGCTGCGTCATAATTCCTAGTTTCGACCCAAGCTTGGCATCAGGCATCACTTAATTTCAGGCAGCTTAGAGAACCCTTAGTCGTTGTTGTCAGCAAGGATCTTTTGGATATCCCGATGCTGACCCGGTATGTACAGGTACATACACCTCCTACAGCCGTTCGATAGTCTATCCGTACTATAGAAATTGCAGGCCCCCCTAGTGATTAGTTATGTCGAATCTGGCCAATTACGCAACTTGCCGAGCGGAAGTCCGACCTTACGTATCGTAAAAAATCAGTAGAGAGGAATTCAATAAATAAGTAACTATCTCTATATCTATAGTATTAACTAATACATATACCTACGCGCTCGCCGACACGCGTAATCGATTGCGCCGGTACTATTTACCTTAGTAGCCGATATATATACCGTCGCGGTTACCTAAAAGCTCTATACGTCGCCGAAACGATACTATAATTGCCTCGATTTCTTCGACTATAATCGAGTTCTATTGTTGCTCTACCTAAACGATAAGTTGTTTATTAGAATTAGCGCGCGGAAGGCGATTGAGACGTACTTTTATAAGCGCCTATACGTTCTCGATACAGTTAAGATCTAGTAAATTAGGAGGCTATATATCTAGGGTATATAGAATACTACGATTCTTAATTTCTCGCTAGAATTCGCCCTTATAGGTAGACGCTCCGTCTAATACAAGGACAGGCATCTTCTTAAGTACGACGATTGTAGGGTTATAGCTATCGACGTCGATTCTGCCCTAGATCAATATATAGAATACAGTATTAGAAAGAGTAATTTCGAGCATTAGTCCCGGAGGGAGCTCGAATACGTCTTCGTCCTCCGGGGGGTTGTCTAGGTTTAGTAGGCTATCGTCGATTAACGCGAGCGTATACTCCTACTAGAAGCGGATAAGTTCGGGCAAAACGTACTATACTAGAGAAGCCTAGGTTATAGTACCTAGGGTACGACGGTCCTAATAGATAAGTTGTAACTTCCGAGAGCTATAGATAAAGCCGTAGTAGTAATAAGTACTGTCTATATCCTTAAACAATAGCCGGAGATAGTTAGGGTTATATACTTTACCTATACGATTGGTTATTCGGACTCTCTCTCCTCCTACAGTCGTATATCTACCCGCTATAGTACTTACCTAGACAACGAGTTACTCTCTACTATTATATACCTCCCCGACCGAATACTACGGCGTCCCCGAATATAAATAGTTTCGGTATCTGCGTTAGGCACTACTCCCCGAATTGACTACGTAAGTCTATATTCTCTTCGTCTAACTATAGGGCGTAGCGAGCGACGAGACGGTAGTACCTACTCTCTTAGAGACGCTGGCGGATCGTTGATTCCGAACACTCTAATTCTAGGGCTATCTTGATTTAATTGTAGGTAGCTCTATAGCTATTTTCGTTACGAGTAATAAAAGCGATAATCCGATTAGTAACTAGCGTACTAAACTTCTTTAGTAACCGCTTAGCTCTGTCTATCTACGGTGTAATAGCCTCGTAAACTATACTATAGACCGTTGAATATAGCTCTTCTAACGTAGCAGTAATCCGAGTAAGTTTCTAGCCGGCCTATTATACTAATGCCTTAATTGTATAACGCACTTTTAGAGGCAGTATAGCGTAGCGCTTGCGTCTATTCTCAACGTACTTACGTATGTTTTGTAGTACTATAGCGGTTACTACGGATAGAATAGGCTAGAGTACTTGATTCGGGGGTATTACCGCTCTAAACAACTAAGTAATTAGCCGACGGCGGCCCCCTACAACACTATTGCTATAATTCCTCTATCGAACGCGGAGTTACGACGATATAGTGTTTAACCGTCCGTTTAACCGTCCGTTTAACCGTCGGTTTGACTATAGAAGTAAATACTAACAACTAAGAATTAGTAGAAGTAATAGAAGTAATAGATACAGTACTACAAACGACTGCCGGCCGCCTCTAATATACCTATACATATATATATATATACCTATATACTCTATTACTTCCTCTCTCTCTACGCGATCAGTTATATTTACTACTTACTTAGCGGTCTATACGTATTTATATTAGAAGGCTGTAGGAGGTAAATACAGTATACCTCTACGGCTATAAGTGCGGTACTAGCCGTCTGATAGACCGGCATTCCGTAGCGGTCTATCGGTACAGTCGATAGTACGTACGTTAGAACCGTATTAGTTACTCGGGGCAATGCCTAGAGGTGTTTCAGACTATCGGAATACCTCGGTACTACTCGGCTATCTCTCAGCGTCCGAGATACCCTGCAAAACGACATTTAGACAGCTGTTAGTGCGGTTATTAACTAGTGTCCGAGATTCCGAGCCATACAGTGTGTAGAAAAGGGCGGAACGGATAGACTATCGAACGGCGGTGGAAGTTGTGTGTATGTCGACAGCAGCCACTTGTTCAGCAAGTGAAGCAGAAATGAATACAACAGATACAACATGAAGTCGGAACATTCCTTGGCAATTCAACGTTATCATCACGTATCATCTATGTACATCATGCCATCTATCCCTGCTAGTGTGCTATCACTATGTGTCAAACTTGGCGCCGATTTTTTCCCCGATTTTTTTCTAGGACTACATCCACCTGTAGCGATACAGCGCTTTGGATGTAGTCACCTATATACATCCCAAGCAACCTCAAAGGGCTAGGATAGCCAAGGCCAGAGCGCTGATCATCAGAGAGCTCTTCGTCACGGTCTTGTAGGCTGGTCGAGAGGCAGCACCAGTGTAGGTAGCCGGGCTGCTGCTCGTACTATTGCCATCTCCCATCGCTTGTCGTTGGTATGGCGTGGGAATGGCTCCGCCAGCAGTAGTCTGAACAGGTCCCTGCACAGCTGGTGCAGGCGTTGCAGCAGGCGCAGTAGGCACAAGGTTCGTAGTGGGCTGCACAATCGAACACGATGAGTCCGGTGTCCAGACTGGTCCTGCAGGCTGAGGAGCGCTTTTTTGTGGAATGCACTCTGGTTGTTCCCATTCGAGATTCCAGAAGGCAAAGTCTTTCCATTCTGGCACGAAATTGAGAAGACCTGGAGGAGGAGCAATGTTTCGACATTCGTCGGAAACGTTGGAGACCAGGCCGAAGTCGAGCTGCGCACCTAGGCCTGCTCCACCTGCTCCAGCAGCTGCTCCAAAAGATACTCCAGCAGTAGCCTTCGCCTCGACATTCGGGAGACACTGTGTAGAGATCTGATCCGAAGGCACTGGGAAGATCGCGTCGGTAAAGGTAGGTCCAGTCTTGGTGACACTCCCATGTTCATCCGTGTAGCCTGCCCAGAGAGTTTTGCAGGAGATATAGGCCTGTAGCGAAAGTCAGCGGGGATCTCTAGTGAGCTGCACCTATTGAGAATACTTACTTGGCCGGGCTGGAAAGTCTGACCCAGTGTCGTGTATGCTTCGCCACCAGCTGGTGACGGAGGAGCTGGACCATTTGCGCCCTTATTCGCCGAGTCCAGCGAGCCCTGCTGACCACGAGGTGGAAAGTAGAGGAGTGTTGCTGGACCGCCTTGCACAGTGCACAGCGGCTTACCATTGGGCAGTGTAGGAGGGGACTTGGAACCTCCCACAGATCCTCCTACAGATCCGCCGATAGATCCGCCGATAGGGTGAAGCATGACGCCGTAGCTACCTGGACAGTCGAAAATGATCAGCATATACTTCATCCAGTGAAGTCATATGGAGAGGACAACTTACCGCCAATACCGGCTCCACCGCCGATTCCAGCACTTCCTCCAACACCCGCGCCGCCATGGACATTTCCTCCAATACCACCCCCAACACCTCCACCGATGCCCGCACCTCCGTGACCACTTCCACCAATGCCACCTCCGATTTCAAAGGTGAACAAAGGCACAGCAGCACCCACGCCAGCGTGGAGTCCAGCACCAGCGCCAGCACCAACGGCAGCACCAGCACCTGCACCGGCACCTACGGCAGCACCACCACCAACGCCGGCACCACCACCAACGCCAGCGCCACCGCCAACGCGAGCACCACCACCCACGGCAGCACCACCGCCCACGCCAGCACCACCACCAACGCCGGCGGCACCACCAACGCCAGCGCCACCGCCCACGCGAGCACCACCACCCGCGCCAGCACCACCACCAACGCCGGCAGCGCCACCCACGCCAGCGCCACCGCCCACGTGAGCACCACCACCCGCGCCAGCACCACCACCAACGCCGGCAGCACCACCCACGCCAGCGCCACCGCCCACGCGAGCACCACCACCCGCGCCAGCACCGCCACTCACACCAGCACCACCACCCACGCCAGCGTGGAGATCAGCACCCGCACCAACGCCAGTAGCCACACCGGCACCAGCGCCAGCGCCGCCGTGGAGTCCAGCACCTGCACCACCAGATAGCCCCGCGCCGCCAGACAGGCCAGCGCCACCAGCCACACCAGCGCCAGAAGCCAGACCGGCGCCAGCGACCAGACCGGCACCAGCAGCGAGACCCGCGCCACCAGCGAAACCGGCGCCAGCGCCCGCACCAACAGGGAATCCCAAGCCGAAAGTCATCTTGATCGTGGCGAAATCTATTCGTAGGTCGTGTTTAAGTATCAAGTGAAATGAAATGTGAACGAACGAAGGGTTTTGATGATGGAGCGAAGGTGGAAAAAAACGAGGATTGCGAGAGTACGATGCCAGCGATGTCTGCAGGAACAAAAGCAGGAAGCAGGTCGACAGAGGAGAATATATACTGACCTGAAGACTGACTTACCTGCGATGTCGAGTCCTTCTCCTGCAGCTTCTCATACAGCAACACAGCATGAGGCGTGATGAGTAGTGCAGTAGCTGCAGATCGGTAGCGACACCATAGTTTCGGTCACATCGACTAACCCAATTGGCGTCGATGTTGCTGCGCTGCCACTTTCATTCCTCAAGTGTAACGTCCAAACATGCAGCCCCTTTGTGGTTGTACTGTAGAAGTAGTGTAGTGACTTGTGGGTTGCCATAAAGGTGTTTAGGGTTCAACGTTAGTCGCGTAGGCGTTTTAGAATATATTTGGACCTTGGACCTTCTTGGAAACATGCTTTCGTAACCGCAACCGTTATTCCAAACATGGACTCTCCCAAGTCAGAAGCAGAGAGGATCTGGTCGAGGCACATGTCGGTATCGTGCATGTCGTCGTTACACTTGTGTGTTCTAGATGCGACGCTGTAAGCTGCCCACTTACTCATCATCGTCACCCATCTCTTCTCTCAGTATTCTCACTTGCTTCCTGATTTCAATCCATAGCTTATTCTTCTCGAGATCTGGGTCATCTTCTTCCACACGTCTAATTAGCCACACATAGTCGTACAGTCCCTTGAATGGCCTGACGCTTGTACGATCGCATATTCTGCCATTCTCCGGTCTTGCATGAGCTTCCAGACAGTCAAGGCAGACTTTGGAATTGCCATCCGCATCTCTCGCAAGTGCTAGAAGACTGGCAACCATGGCTTCTTGCAGATAGGCGAAGGAGAACCCTTTGGTGATCTTGGCCACGGCAGGACACAGTGTGTCCGGGAAGTCGACATCTTTGTTGTCTGCGAGCTTAGCTTGCCAATATTTCATGTATTGCGACCGCTCCTTCTCGTCAGGATTCGGGAATAGGTACTTGCGATCGAAGCGGGAAGGTCGTTTGGCAATTCCTGGATCTAGCCGGTCCAAGTGGTTGGTTGAGCCTATCATCAAGATGCCATCGTCTGGACAAAAGACGTCAATTACTGCTATAGATACATGCCGTGGGCGGAGTTCTATGGGCTGAGTTAGAATAAGGCACTTACTCTTTTGTATACCGTCTATCGCGTTCAGAAAGTAGGAACGAACATTATCCGTCACGATGGAATCCAGATCCTCGAATACAAGAAGGCAAGGTGCAGTCCTTCTCGCGAGCGCGAAGATCTCAGATATGCTGTACTCTGGACCACCAAAGCTGGAAAGTGTTCTGACGTAGAGAGTCGGGACTGCATCGTCTCGGCTGTACAGCGTGTTCATGATTGCTTTGACGCTGATGGTTTTGCCATTTCCGGGAGGTCCATAATAGATGATTCCTCGCTTCCAGGGGACTTTGAGCTTTTCGTACGTGTCTCGGCTATCGTAGAAGTTCTCGACGTCGTTTCGAATGGCATTCTTCATACCTGGCCACTGTCAGCATGTAGCACCTCGTAAGCACTGCACATGGCACTCACCTTCATCGAGGATGACATCGTCCCAGCTCGCCTTCCGCACACTGTTGAACAGCTCAGCGCTCTTCTGCCAGTAGCCACCGTCGAACACCCATATCTCGTTGTGTAGTGTATTGCCCCACGATCCAGCCTCCAGCACCAGAGTGTTCGATGCTTCCACTGACGGAGAAAGGATGTACTGGTTGGTCACAACTGGGTATGCTGAACCTCCATCTCTTCCTTCTGCGACGTACACAATGTACTCCTTGTTCCTCCAATCCACGAGGTACTTCCCAAACTTGACCTGATCGCCTGTGTATCCTTTACCATTCAGCCTCGAGGCTGGCGGTACATATATGCGCCATGACAGGCGGTCTTTGATGTTGCCAAGTGGCGATACACCAGCATGTCCTGCCGCAGCGAAGCCGAGCACATCACAGCTTGTCTTGGGGACAACAGTCAGGTGTAGCTCGGGGTACTCGGCGCGAATGCTTTCCACGATCACCACATCGGTATTGACGCGATCGGCAGACGCGTGATCAAAGTATCGCTGGCTCGTCGGGTTGCGAGGGCCGCTGGGCCTGGAGTCGGTTCTTCCGCCTGCGGTCATGTTCGATGGCAGCAGTTTGTCGTCCGAGATGACTTGCTGCTGGGCTCGCAGGGGCAGCCAAGAGCTTGAGCTCACGTTGTTCCTCATGATGTTAACCGCGCGCTCTGCTGCGACACCTTCGATCTGACGACCTTTCAGAAGATGGTACTCAGCTCGGCCACGCTAGATCGACTGAGTCAGAAGTGGAGTGTAGATGAAGTCCAGGTGGGAGAAGCTGCGGGCTGGGAGGTGGAAGGAGAGCGAGAGCACAAAGGAAGATGGAACACCAACATCGACGTCCCTGTCTCCTCACCTCGCACGACAGAAATGTTATGTCCGTACGGAGCACACATGGGCACATCGATGCAGCAGCCAGTTGCGGGATGTTGTTCTACAACTAGGTATTTCTACCGTATCCCACGAAGAGCTGCGGGTGGATATCAGTTCTGCTCAACCAAGGAGCCGATGCCCATCTCCATCCTGTGACATCTGGCCTGCGCCTCTGTGATGCAACCGCCGGGCCGTGTCTACAAGTGGGAGAGATCTGATGGTGGTCTGTTCACGGGTCGGTGTACCATTGAATTGAGTTCAGGTGCTAGCGTATTTTAAGGTTTTTTTCGAAGTGGGGTGTACCCCACTTTGAGGTCAGTGTACCATATAAGAAGCATCTCAGCTTGAATTAATTCCTCTTTCCTTTCATCCACTACAACAATCCACCGTGGCCTCCACTCCACCAATCTCCACCACACCACACCACACCACCACCACTCCACTGAATCAATTCATCAATTGATTCATCAATTGAATTAATCTTCTTTCACATCTCTCTCCTACCTGACACACCATTCAACCGAATCGATTCACAAATCGATTTGCAAATCGATTTAGGTACTAATTGAGAATGCCTCCAACACCTGCGACGGAATGGTACGAGAAGATGGTGGAGCAAGGAACAATGCCTCTGGGAATGGCATGCTGGGAGGCGGATGAGTATGGACAGGTAAGTTCAAATCCTTAATCAATTCGTGAATCAATTCACGAATTGATTGATAGAATAATTACTAATCTGGATTTAGTATACTATCCATTCCATCGAGCGTTGGTGCTGCGCGAAGAATATTCCTCCCTTGGAACAAACGGATGAAGAAGTAGAGAGCTGGAGCCCACTTTGTGGAATGAAATTCGGCGCCGCAGGGG